GCGTGGGACGTCGAAATTCAAACGTATATTACGTTTGTAAATTGCAGTTACATATTTCAATTTATTGCAAAGAAAGTGAATATAATGTTATCTAAATGTACACTATGATATTGTTCATACTTTTTTCTTTAGAAAGGCTTGATATCTTTGTTTGCTTACAACATAATTCGTGTCTGGATTTAAACTAATATGTTGTTAACAAAATAGATTAAATCAAATGAACCTTGAATTGTCTCTTTTTATTTTCTTTCACTCCCTAAGCGTTAAATGAACAAAAGAAAATATGATAAATTGTCATCAGCTTTGTTATGTGGCTTAAGGAAACCTCGGCGTGAAATTGGTCCTTCGAGCCGTCTCACTTGTTACGATCATTTTAGTCACGTACTAAACAACTTTATTTCAAGATACAATTTTCTTTCTTTATTATACTGTCTTATCTGAAACGATTATAATGAACATGATTATTATGAGAGTATTCTTTCTGTTCTTTTATATTCTTCCTGGAATAGCTGTTTATTTTACTTGCTTTTACTCGAGATTTCATCTGCGAAGCAATTCCGCGTTTCGTCTGATGAGTGTGGTGCCGGAGGCCTAATTTTTGTCCCTTTTCCTTTCCACCCTTTTCTTAAGGGGAAAGGATGGGAGGGAAAAGTGGATTCGACGGTGGAGGAGACGCATAGGAAGGGGAAATGTCCTCTTTTTGTGCGTCTCCTCCTCCGTCAATTAGGGTAGGCAACGCATCTGCAATTGCTTTTGTTTATGGGCAGTGGTCGCTTTCCATTTCGGTGGATTCAGGTGGCCGCTTGCTCGTTTGCAACCTCGTATTATAAAAAAAAAACGAACATACACGAACCAATATTACTATGTCTATAAAGCCCGCTAGACACGCTCCGTTTTATTTAACAATTTTTGAACAGTACAGTTCTGTTTTGCTTACACACGTTAGATTTTTTAATGTGGACTGTTTTGATTAAACTAAGCATGTGTAACTGGCTTTGATAAAACACATATTTTTGTAAGCTTTATAAAATTTTGATTACTATTTATAAAGCTAAAGAGAACGGGTTCTATCAAACGCAATGAAATACAATTTATAAATTCTTTTCAGTACGTATTTGTTCCATTACATTTTTTGTTTGAATGAAATTTACTTTCGCAGCAAACACTTTTCGTGTCTTTGATGTATTTTCTATACAGAAAGTGGATTGGGACAGAATTCCTTGAGAACTGTTTCTGTATTGATCTATCAGTCCTGGTATTCACATAACGATGGAATTAAGTTACTCAGCCAAATTATTTACTTCATTTTGATTTAATGAAATTCATTTTTATTATTGTTTAAAAAAATTGAAACATATTTATGGAATTTTATGACGTAGAAATAAATTTAAGACACCGGAAAAAATAGTAATTGTTTTATTGGGGTCGCGGTAAACTTTACGAGTTATTTAACGTTATTCTGGTCGTTCGTTTAGTTCGGAAACGGATGTGGTTAGTGATATAATGAAAATGTTAATAAAATCCATCGATGTATAACTGTAAATCAAAAATTAAAAAAACAAGGAATGAAAATATCGAACTATTTAATTTAAACAAAAATGTAATGTTTCCACCCCTAGGACCTGTCCCACCAGTGATAGAGGTGGTACAATTTGGTGGGACAGGCCCTTAATACTTTAATGACGATTAACAGTAGCTCAGTGTAACCAATCTATCTGTCACTAAACACATATAGAATATTATTACCACTTAAACTCTCTGAGTGCTGAAGTTAGATTACGCAATAATTTGTATATAAAAGGGTTGAACTATGGTTTTTCTTATAAAATGCAACATTAATAAATCAAGGCGTTGATTTACTCGTATAAAAACGTTTTCGCAACGTTTCCTGCAGCAGTGTTTTACTGACAGCTTGATTTAAGCGGTCTGCTTGTTTTAACTTCGCAATTCAAATTGCATGCTTAATAAGTGAAGTACTCTGCGAAATTTTGCTTTATTAAACACTAAATTAATTTTCCATAGATGTAGAATAAAACTTTTATAAATATTCTATGTAAAAATAAGCTCGTAAAAGACTTCAATCCGTTTTTGGTCAATTCGGTTGATATATAGCTTTCGATACTCTTTAGAGCGGGCGCCTTTGACTAAACTATCGAACAACTGTTTGGTCTCGATTTGATTCCTATGAGATGATATGGAGGTGCACATACTACTAGATTTTTACTTGTGCTACGGAACACTTGAGTTGGCTGCGAAACAATCGACAATCGTCAATCCTACAACAGCTTTACGATTGTTTAGTAAAAAGTGTGCGCCCGCTCTTAGAATTACAATGTACAATTAGCTGCATAAATGTGCATGCATTTACAAAAATATATATCTGCCTTCGGTTTCTATACGAGTATGTGTTGTGCACATGTATATATGTTTTGAAACAGAAGATGGAGTTCTGTAGCTTAGTTAATTATAATTATTTTGCAGCTGACTGTACATTGTTATCAATTTAGATTACTTTATAAATTACTATCTGTTCCAGTGCGCCTTCATTCGCATGAAATGTCAAAATTCAATGGACGAATGACAATTGCTTCCTTGATGTTGGCAGCAACTTATGGTCTCTTTCCCACATTAGGATTTTTATCCAAAATATTTACCCCTTAAGTTTAATGGCGTGAAAATATATAGCCTAAAGCGTGATGTAAGTGTAGGGCTTTTTTTTTAAAAAAAAGAACTATTCAAAAATATGCTATAATTGCTGACATCTTAGGCAACAATGAAGTGTGTGTTTACGCTTTATTATAATAGTATAGATAATTGAAAATTTCAATATATTGTAGTATGTAGTAATTTAATATAACTTGATATGTTCTATATTATCATGAATTGTAATGAAAAAGTTATTAAGTCTTTTTTACCTAAAGTAATAAGCATTCTAAGGAGCATATTTGAATTATTTAGCATCAAAGGAATTTGGAATTGCGTATTCTGATAAGTACACACGTAAAAACGTACGGAATAAAATATTAACTTTAGTACGTGTGTCAACGATGAACGATTTACATTTTCTGTTACTCTGATTGTCACGGCGCACAATGCTGTCTAATGTTTACTGAATTCACGTAAAAGGCATTACCATATCTTTTTATTTTTATTATAAACTAGCTGTTCCCGTGCGACTTCGTCCGCATAAAATTATAAAAAAATTATTATATTGTTTACATTTGTCAAATTACAATTGCAAATGTCAAAATGACAAACCATGGCAACCTCGCTTCCTTGATGTTGCCAGCAACTTATGGTCTCTTTCCCACATTAGGATTTTATCCAAAATATTTACCCCCTAAGTTAAATGGCGTGAAAATATATAGCCTAAAGCGTGACGTAAGTGTCGGGCTTTTTATTTATTTAAAGTAACTGATGCTAACGTATTGATATTTCACGTATTTGTTATCAAATAGCGTTGAATGGAGGAATGCCTTTACGATGAATGAATTGACCGGAAAACGTTTTACTCTAATAAATGAGAAACTTTCTTGGCTTCATTGAGTGTTACACAAAATGTAGCCGTTATTTTGTTCTCAATCACGTTTTGGGCAGTTTCCTATATAGTTAACCACATTATACAACTTTAGTAATGACTCGCTGTTGCTAGCTTCGTCACGTGAATTTAAAAATAATAGAAAATATTAAATGTTACTTCGTCATAATTTAGCTTTATTTTGGTGAAAGAATTTTCGGAAGGGGCCTATTAAATTTTGAGTTATTTCAATAAATTCAAATGTTTCTTCTTTATAACATTAGTATAACGTATTAAATTTGACTAATTTTTTTATTACCATTCGTTGTTCTTTTTGTACCGCAGCTATAATAAAGCATGCTACACACTTTATGTTGTAACTGAAAAGGTAAAACTGACGTGTGTAAGACTAATTTTAAGTGACAGTTGACCTGTTCAGTTTTAAGTCAACGTTGCAAATATACAGTTCGATTATTTATTGTATTGTCAATTGAAGGTGTATAGGGCTTTATTAAAACAATTTTACGTAATCGATTCTTAAACAGGTGTAAGGATTGTTTATGATGAATCTTCCCGCGTTTTTCTCAATGTACGGACCACTATCGTCTGATATCAATGACTACATTGATATATACCATCTCTCGATTAACAGACGAGATCAATTCTAGTGAATTCTAGTGAATTGATCTCGTCTGTTAATCGAGAGATGGTATACGATGTACGAATAAAATATAGTAGTGCGGCAAACACCCATAAAAATACAATCGAATAACCTTTCTTATACTCGTTTGAATTCTTAAAACGCTTGTATTTGTTTAATCTTACTTCATACTAAACAGTATAAATGCTTTTTAATACGAATGTTAGTAGAATTTATTTGACGAGTATTCCTTTATTGTTTTATCGTTTGCTCGGCTTTTCCTACTTGGTAAATATTATCGAATATTTCCCGTAGTGATGAAAGGGAATGGAATTTTATTATTGCACGTTTTCTTCAAAGGTCTAGTCCTACTATAAGATTATATTATGTGTTCCTGGTATTTTTTTTATTCGTCTTTATTCAGCTCGAATTAAAAAATAAACTAGTTACATAGTTTACGTGTGGCGAAATATTTAAACTGTCGATTATGAACAGAACAAACAGTAGACATTATTGATTGAACACACTTATTTGACTAACTTAATTGAAGTATTTGGACATATATGAACAGTTACATTTGTATGGAATATTTACATTTCTTCAAAACTGGCCTATTTGGAGATTGCAAGAAAAAAGGTCTCATTTTTGGATTGTTATATACTATGGGATATACTATTTGATGTTCGGATTTTGGTCTTACTTTGTACAATAAACTGGCTGCTATTGTGTGTGGCATAAATCAAACAGCGTTTATATCGAGACTGATTTATCAAGAGTTAAGTTGACATAACCTTGTTATTGTAGGTATCGTATAGTTGCTTTAACGTGTTTTCCTTGTTTCAGATATTACTCAAAGTCAGCTCCTCTGTCGCGGAGTACCGGGCCACAAGGTATGCGGTCTCCGTTCGCACGCACCTCGCATCTCCTTCACCAACAAAGAAGAGACAGACGGTCATGAACTGCGACGTAAATCAGCAAGTAGTAGACTTGGCAGTTCACCTCGGTCAAGTATCGCTAGTGAAGATAGAGTCGATGGATTGGCTTTAAGGTAAATATTTTTACTGTTTGTGCGATAGCTTCTATTATATACAAATCTGTTATGTCTAGGTGAGTTTATTATAACAGTTCTAACCTCAATCGTCGTACACGACCGCACCGCTCGACAGCCGAAATACTACTGCCCAGAATGTCACGTGAAGTAGGCGCGTGAATGTAGTCAATACACTATCGTTCTATATTAGTCAAATCACTCCATATATTCAATACACTGAGTTTGAGGAGTTGAGAGTTGTAAATATAAAAAAAAACCTTAACAAATACAGTCCAAGTACAAAATCAGTACTCAAAGTGACTTTATCTCTTGATCGGTTAATATATACTCTAGTCTCTCGTAAACACAGACTATATATTCGGATACCGCTTTACTAATCCGTCCTAGAACGGTCTATATGCATGTTAATTGATGCTCATACGTTCACCTCGACGCGCTAAGTTAGGCAGCCGTAACTTATGTTATATGTACGTAGATAGGCTACGAGCATCTAAGATTAATTCGGCCACTTCATTCGGTTAATTATTTATTAAGTTGGAACAAACTTAATTGCTTCTATTTAAGTATTGTATTTACAAATTATTTTGCTTAATAAATAGGGTTTCATTTTCAATATTTGATTGGTTTTCGTATACTTTTAGTTATGGGATTGTCGATTGTTTCTTAGACAATTCAACTGTTTAGGTGCACAACTAAAAATCTGTATACTGTGCCCATCTCCATATAAGCTCATAGCAATCAAAGCGAGACTAAACAGTCGTGCGATAGTGTAGTCATAGGTGTCCGCGTGTTCTAAATATAGATTTTTTATATGAATATTTTTCCCAACTCAAAAATGTATCGTATATTTTTATTTTCGTTGATGATATGTATTTATTCAAATTGTTCTTTTTGGTGGCTTCACTGGATGTTCGCGTGCGAAATTCTCGTATACTTATATCAGTTTTATCATACATGAAGTTATGTAACTAAACTAAAACAGTAGCTGGAGCTATAAAGTTACTACAATTTTATAAACGTCATATTTCATTGTATAAAAAAATATATATTCCGTTTGACATCGTCGTCTAGTTAAGATTGGCTACAAAGGTGGTGAAAGACCGAAGAAAGTTTGGATGGATTATTTGGAAAACGATATGCTTAAGACGGGAGTAAATTTAGATATGACATCTGATAAATGTATGGAAGGGCAGTACTGTGCCAAACCTCCGTAGGGACAAGGGCAAGTTGATGGTTAATGATACCGTTTTTTATTTAAATTACTCAATTTCTCATTTTGTTCATCATCTTATTCTACTTCCGTAGGGTCAGCGCCCCGGGTTTTCGTCCTTCAAATAACTCTATCATACGTCATCTCAGTCATCACTCCCTTCTTGATCATGTCACCTTTCACGCAATCCATCTGTTTCTAGGTCTACCTCTACCGATGTACCCCTCCACATTCATACCTAACATCTTTCTTGTTACATGCGATTCATCCCTTCTCACAACATGTACATACCACGCTAACCTTTTACTCCTTATTTTCTTAATTTCCCATTTTGCTGGCTAGATTAATTTCAAACAAAAGTATCGCAACACTTTCGATCATAAACATTGTGTTCGCTATTGAAACAGACTTGAACTCGTTTAACAGACAAATACAAAAGTTTCTCATGTATCTGTATACATATTTAAGTTGAAATACAAAACAAAACTTCGAATCTAAGTAAACAAGCGCTGTACAAACTTCTTCTATCAGGAAGTTCGCACAACTTGCTACCACACACAATAATAACAATTGAAACGAGTTTTATTACAAACATATTGTCAGTAATCAAATAAAATAGATGAAACATAGTAAACATCTAATTGGGAATAATTTTCATAAAGTTCAAGACTTGAATCAATTTTATGTCTGCCTCAATATTAAAGATATACTTTTAATATTGAGGCAGACATACATGATATACTTTTAATAGCGGTAATTCTTTTTTTCCTTCTTAAACATATCTTTTGCAGACAATCCAATCCAAATTCCAAACAGTTACGACTTAGGGGCCGTCAAGAAAAGAGAGTACTCCTCCCTTAAAGGCCGCGCATCTGCAGTTCCCTTGGCCTTGCAGATGTTCATACGCGTCGGATCAATTAATATCAAGCGATCCGCTGTTTGTTTGTCCGCTTTAAAAAATCATCCATCCATCCTTTCTTCGGTCTTCCCCTTCACCTCTTCCCTCTCTCCCCTTCACCTTTGTAGGTATCCACATTCAATGTAAATTTTAATGCAATTGAAAAAAAAACATTAATTGTTAATTAGATTACAAAATGTTAATAGTATTCGAAAATTATATTTAAGTAAGTACTTCTGTACTCTTTATTGGTAACATTTATGCTTAAAACAAATTATTAGATTCCTTAGTCTAATTTGAAAAAGTCGTCCGAAACTTTATCACAAAATGCTCCTTAAACAAGAAAAGTAACACAACGTGAGTTACATTTTCATGAATAATACATTCATCACTTCTTTGAAGCTTAAGTGCTCATTTACTTAATCTATACATAAAACCTGAAGCACCTAATCTTACTAATATCAATGCAAAAGTTTGGATGGACAGCTTGTTAGAGTTTTCCACCTAAACTGCTTAATAGATCTCGATTAAAAGCATAGATGTAGAGTATACTCTTGAAGAACACATTGGCAACTTACTTTTTTTAAAATTCCACACGGACATAGTCACAGGCGAAAGTTGTAGTAATATAAAGCGATCCACACTGTCGTAGTGAACCTTCTGGGAGTAATTACTTCCAGTGCTGTGATGCGTTTAATCGGTTATTACGTGCAGTCACACTTGACATATGACTTGCTGGATTTAACAAGCTTGGTTAGTTTATACATCGCTTAATGCTAATTATTATGATAGTCTAATAAGTATTGAGGGCTTAATGTAAAGGAAACCATAACATTATTGTCTCTATTCAGTTTCGAAAGAGTGAAAGAGATAGCAATTTTATTGTAAAACTGTTGTGATAGGACACGGGCCTTAACTAACTTAAAAAGTTTATGAATAAAAACAAATAATTATTCATGAACGAGTTTTAATATTAGTACATTAGGACTAACAAAATAATTGTAATTTTTATATCTATGTACTTCTATACAAATGTTTTAAAGCGGAAAGATTTTTAATGGCATGCATAACTCCAAAACTACCGGAGTGATTTTAAAAAATACTTCACTGTTAAAAATCTACGTTATATTTGAGTAACATAGGCTATATTGTTAGTACTGTTTTTAATTCCGCGCCTACGTCGTGAGTAAAACCTCTAACTTATACTTTATAAGTTATACCAGTAAGTAATAACAAAGTAAATACGTACTTAAATTAAACGAAAGAATGAAGAAATCGCTAGCTATTCCATGTATTTCTCAGTTGGCAACTTCTTTCTACATCTCATAATAAAGTGGGATTCCCGCGGGAATTCCGGAGACCGTTCGAGTTTATTTTGTGGTTTATTAGACCACGTACCATTCCCATTGATACACTGAAGCGGCGATAAAATGTTGAAGAAACTTTTGTTGGCATTTTATTTTAATAAATACAGCTTTTCGCTTCTTAATCTTACCAATATTATAAATGCGAAAGTTTAGATGGATGGATGGATGTTTGTTAGAGTTTGTAGCCTAAACGACTGAACGGATCTAGGTGAAATTTGGTATAGATGTAGAGGATACTCTGGAAGAACACATAAGCTACTTACTTGTGTTTTTTTTTTAATTCTACGCGGTCGGAATCGCGCGCGAAAGCAAGTCACAACAGAAAATAGGAGAATATTTCGCAATTAATTAGATATGAACTTATGTTAGTTATTATAATACCAGTAATATATTTATTTATAATACAACAATAAAAATGGGTGTATTTCTGTGATAAATTACAAAAAAACACATTTCGCATTTATAAATTTGATATGGTAAATGCTACGATTTTGATTATGAATATTTAGAAGATATCTCCAGAATGGCTCAACGAATTTCGATAAAATATAAGGACATAAGCTACCAATTTTTTTTATTCCTCGCAGACGAACGCGTGGACTACCAGTATTTTATACTTTGGAGAACGTCGTGTAAAGTTGAATTTTCGATTCAATGTAAAATATAATATAGTTGCAAATGTAATCTTTATGTATGTGCGCGTCTGTTGACCCCGGTTGTTGCGATTTCGATTTATATGCAATAACAGTATCTCGACAGCTGAAGGCGAAATATCCGAATCGTAAATCCACGTACACGTGATATCTTTCGATATAAAATTGATAACCACTTTGGTATCAAAATAAGATTTTTAAAATTTCAAATCCGCTTTAGTATTCAAGAAATTCTGAACTCAAAAACAAGAATGTCTTACAATGTCTTGTACCAAGTGTTCAATACGAAAATTTCTTTTCAAATACATTCACATAATAAAAATCGCAGCATAAGAAACAAACTAAATAATAAAAATAGAGGAAAGTGTAATTAACGAGCAATAGGCTACAAAAGTAACTTTAAACCTATAACTTACGGCTGAATATTAAAACACTTCGCATATCTTAAATACTTTGCTTCTTAAACGACGCTTACAATCTGACAGATGTCAAAATTTTAATGGTATTTGGACCTTAACAGTGGTTACATTAAGGTACAAATTTAAATGACTACATTATTCGACTGCTAGTAAAATATATTTTACTAGATTTTACCCGCGACTCCGTTCGCGTGGAATTTAAGACAAAGAAAGTGAATAGCCTATGTGTTCTTCCAGACTATTCTCTATGTCTATGCCAAATTTCATCAAGATCCGTTCAACAGTTTAGGCTACAAACTCTAACAAACATCCATCCATCTAAACTTTCGCATTTATAATATTAGTAATATTTTTTCTCAGTACAAACATACAAAGTTTTTCTACGTTATTAGTATTATCTATCCAACGCAGAATGGTTGCTATAAACGAAGAAATAAAACTAGATCAAAC